ATCCGGATGGACACCTCTAGTAGTGATAATGGACACCTCTCGTGGTTAAGGTAACCAGGCCGTGGTTTAGTGCGTCGCTTCATCCGCGAAGGAAACCGCGTCCGCATGGACTGAACAACGGTCACGTCCGGTCCTGGAAGCTGGTGATCGTCACGCTGCCGGGGCAATAGTCCACCCACCTGGTGTACGCGTATCTATAGCGTATCCATCCGTTTTTTCCATCCAATGAAGAACAGGGAAGAAAGCAAAAGACTGGGCCATCCCAAAGAAACCAGGGGTGTAAAAGAAGGAGGACACGTGATTAGCTTTCAAGAGCTCACTCTTAGCCTAGAGGAGTCAGACTTATCACTAATTCAGGAGAATTCATGTCCAACCGCGTCCAGGAACGCTTTAAGTAATTGACACTTTACTGGCGAAAGGACTCTGAAGCAGGAAATTCAACGCACTGCAGGTGGATCAGGTAGTGCTCCCAATTTCTTCTTTCAGTAAACACCCTTTCAGAAACCACTTCGAGCTGCTCATCCGCATGGTCCATGCGTTTGGTGATCACCGGCGACAAAGCCATGCACTGTTGAACGCCACGGCAAATCATCGTGGAGGAGATGGTCTTGCCTTAGAAACAACCGGAACTAGGGTCTATCCTATTACCAGAGCCTCAGTGGATGATGATGTAATTTGTAGCGGCCTTTCTCTAAAATAAACTGTTTATTGATATACGCCTCTACTGTTTAGTGATAGGCCTCTATACTGATATATAGGCCTATCACCACCCCTTCTGTTATATAATTGTTTATTGACTCTTGTAACTATTTGTAACTAATAGGACAGACCCAAACCGGAACAGACGCGTTCCACCATCCAGTGTCCGCCAGGAGCGATGCCAGGTCGAAAGACAGGCAAAATCGCTCCACGCGGCGGCTGCCAGGTGGTTTTTGATGGGACAGGTTCTTGATTTTTGCGTTTTTTTGGTCAGAAAGTGTTGCCAACATCACATACCCTAGGGCTCCAAATACCGTCTCAGAAGGTACTTAGACCCTCTAAATCTATCTCAAGTACCGTCTCAGGAGATATTTGGGATTCAATACACACCTTTCTCAAAGGCCACATTCAAGCTGTCGAACGAGATTAGCTGAGGCAATCTCTGTCTCAATCAACATTTACAAATTGGTAATTGTGTGGGTCCGTGTATGTCTTTGCTCGAACCGAACAAAGGGTGTACTCTCTGACAGAAACACCAAGAGTGAACATGGTGTGGGATGGTGTGGCTCACACCATGTGATACCTGGGTTTTCATTTATGTTTTTCTGTCAAAAGGAATTATCCGGATTCCTTGCATGTAATTCCTTCTATGTTCATCTCCGCAATTTGGGTGTGGCAGTTTTAAGGTTCTGCATACTGTACAAGACCTGGGTAGCTCATTCATCCACTGTTCACACACCCTCCTGGGTAGCTTGGTCGACCGGCGCTCCCGTCTCGCCGGGAGCCCGCGAGATCGAGCTCCGCCCAGCGACCAATGGATCGATCGAAGTTGGCCGTGCAAAGAGAACCTCGAGAGGCTCAAAACGAACAGAATATGCTCGAAGCAAGACTCTTTTGAGGACCATAACCCCCCCCAAGCTTGAAGAGGTGTTTTCAATTCAAATGGGGCGGGGGGATGATCCGAAAAAGGAGTCTACATAGTAAAAAACTAAGGGTTGTTCGAATCCTAGGGTCAAAGCAAAGCAGACGAAACATCTAATTACGTATACCGGTAGTTTCATCGAAGCTCGGTGCCATCCATGGAGGATGTCACATGAAACACGGGCCACAGCAGGAAGGGACCATCGCCACAGCACGATGTGACTCCATGTGACTCCTGGTGGATAGCCGGAAGTTTGCAAGTGTTCTGTCGGGCTTGATCTTTCATCTTTAAAGAACCACGCATGCCCTGTGCCACTGTACTCAAGTTCAATCAAGTTCATCTGTGCATGTCTATTCTGCTTTCTGCCTTCGTCGCTCCCTCCCCTCCAGTCTTCGCCCCAAGCCGCAGCCGCTCCGTCATCGACCTGATCCGCCATGGTCGTTCGGCGATTCGGGTTCCCACCAAGGCGCCGTTCAACAAGGCCGCGCGGGCGGCGGCCAAGCCCGGATCCACACCTGGAGGAATGGGGTGGCCATTGAAGAGAATCCACACGGGGTCGCCTTCCGTTCGACCGGGTTTTGTGGTGTAAAACCCGTAGGAACACCATCGTTGTTCGGTAAGGCCTACTGATGGGACTGGCCGCCTGTACACACATTGACCCTATATACATGGATTGTTGGGGATCTGTGATGACGGTTTATTCACTTATAAATACACCCAAGAGAAGAGTGAAAAGATCGAACTCTATTCCAAACTCTGCTTCTCTTGAGTGATTTCCGAACGGGAGTGGAATTTCAGCAACCTCAAGGCTTGCATCTATGGCTGAACCTCCAGCGGTCCCCTCTGGGAAGTTCCTGGAAGGCACGGCCCAAAGGTTAGCTGCTAGTTACCAAACAGGAAGCAGTTCGCATTTTGTCCCGTACCCAAGCCCAGTTTGATCATGTAGCTTTGTCCAAACCAAGAATTAAACACGGAGGTTTGTGAAGTTGTCCGGGGAAACCACCGTGAAGATTGACTGCGGCCTTTATGTTCCAATCCTGGTGACCCTTTGTCAGAAAGAAAGCACTTCACCCCCAGGATGGGCAAAGGGTCACGAAGAAACCGGGTGACCTCTTTGCAAGGGACAGTATGAGATTTCACGAACCTTCATGCTGAATTTCTCTAACTCGAAGAAACACCTCCCAACTTCAACCTGTTTCATCCACTTCACCTCCCAACAAAAACCACAGCGAGATGAAATGAGTCTCCTCCTTTGGCCAGATCGAGGGCCCAGGACGTCGTCGGTCCCTCGAGATCTCACATCACTCAGCTCATTTTTTCCTGAAACGAACGCCCGTTCTTAAAGGAATGGCTTCGGTTCTCGCCCAAAAGAAGCGGTTCTTTTTGTGGGCACCCAACTCCGAACTGCTGGTAACACATGGCACCTGTTTCGAGACAAACAAGCGCGCAATTGTTTTGTGAATAATCTGAAAATAATATCAATCAACACACGAAAATCAATTGCTTCTTCAATAGATGAAACACCTTCAACAATCATTAGGTGTATGGGACAGACCTGGTTTTGTAGTCTAACACCTTTAGTGACCTGGATTGCTTCAACCGACCCTCCCGTGGCTGCCGGACAGGTTTCCCCATGGCCTGAGGGAGGTGAGCCTAATCCACCGAGCGAAGCCATGGTGTACTTGATCATGGGATAAGGAACCAAGCTCCTCAGAGAAGGGAGAGAAACAGCGAAAGACCTGAAATCCGGGTGTCCTGGCTCAAAATCCCAGATACTAGTAGTAGTAGTAGTAGCAGTAGTAGTAGTAGTAGTAGTAGTAGTAGTAATTTAGCGTAATTAGTGTAATAAGTGGGCTGGGGCTTTGATTGGTGACCCCGCCCCCGCAATTAATGAAGGTGCTGGCAGAAGTTGATTCGCATCAGCTTCACATGCAAACCTGGAGGAACAAGTTCTTGACGTTCGAGTGTTGTTTCTCGGTCGAGTCTTGTGACATCGGTGAACAGTTCTAGGAAGACCACCGTCGGCAGTCGGCAATCGTGTCAGACTGCCTCTCCAGAAGAACGCACCAGCCGATATACATCTCAAGCTTCTATTGTGTATATACGCAAAATTCAGCCTCAAACTCTCCACTCATCAACGCCGAGACATCTCAAACAGCTATCGTACCTGTTCCTGTCCACACAGCGGCATAGTTGAACCATATTGAACATGACCTTCCCTTGCTCACCCCTCCCCGTGTACTCGTAACTAGTACATTGACCTGCCCCCGATAGTTTGCAGACGCTCCCCGGCTTCGGTCCGACCAAATCGATTCCGACCACCGCGGCACTGTGCATAGGTCCACAACGAGCAGGGCGTGGCGTCATCATTCAGCCGCGCGAAGCGCATGGGCCCTGTTAAGCCACTGAAGAGCCGTGCGACGACACCTGTTCCGCATTGGTGAGAGGAGCAGATGGGCTGCTTTCGAGGATGACGAGCCGGACGGCGTTTCTTTACGTTTTACACAGAAGATTGAGAGGTCTCCGAGCTCTCCTGGCTGGGTGTTTTCCGGGCTTGGGAAGCTTTACAAACGAAGGACCAGGACCAGGACCCACCTGCAGCATGGACCCGACCACCGGGTGCCACCGACAGGCCCGGGCCCAGCCGCCCAGCCCTCGCCTCTGCAGTCTGCATCGCTCGGTGAAGACAAGCCCAAGCCGTTCTCCTACACCGGGGGTCGACAGAGAGGTCGACTCCGTCGACCGGATGGCTTTGCTTCCCTCTTGAAACAGAGCAAAAAGCAGTTCCAAATGAATCCAAAGGAATGGATTGGAGATGATTCTAGCTACATCCAGTCACAGTGGATGTTCTGGGCAACGCTATTTGGTTTCGCCCTTCAAGAGGCTTTCACTGCTTCTTTCGCCGGTTCTTTGGATACACATTTTGGAGCTCCCAGGTCCACTGAGCAGAGGTCGTGTCGTAGACCACCCTTTGTTCTCTCATGTGACTCTCCACCCCCCCCAAAAACAGGTCGGGCCAACCCCCAAGCACGGAAAGAGCTGGGCCACTCTACCACCAACGAAAACAGCAGCTGATTCAAGCAACTCACACGTAACAAGCACTGATCCAGCAACGAAAACAGCACGATGTCACATCATCGCTCCTGGGCTTTGGCCCTCTTCTGCACCGCGGTCCTGTCGTACAAGACGACCAAATCCGCCAAGTCCTGCTGATCTCCTCAGGATCGTCTCTGCGTCGGCGACGCGCGCGGGGTCTCTTGCGGTTTTGCAGCGGTTCGGGTCGTCAGAACTCCACCACGAAGGAACGTCCTGTTGATCCCTACTACGGTCAATGACCTCATGAAATACTGGAGTTGGCCATACAAGCTTGCAAGTTCACACTACCCGAAAAAACAGGTTTGACAGAGTCAGACTGGACTTGTAGGTATATCTTGCGCAAGATTTTGATGTTGAAATAATCACCATGAAATGCTTTGGATGGCTTACCAACATCTGACAAAGCTGGGGTTCCTCATAGCCTCCATTGACTCGAGCACATCGGCTTTGAACGCCATGTCGGATGAAAACGTGTGACCGCACGGTGGTACATGGAAAACAAAAAAATCTATGGACAAGTCATGCATAGAGATTGAATCGACCACAAGCAGAAAAAAAACACATGATCAAGAGATGGGCATATGGCACACAAGGTCAGGTTAGACCCACCCGACCACAATCATGCGCATCGTGGTGATCCGCAACGGATGACCGCATTTTCCGCCAGGTTCGTGTGGAGATCGCCGCATTGGCCGCAGCCCTGGAGGGATCCGCCTGCGACTCGATCGATCGAAAGCGCCGGCGGTCCTTCTTGTTTCATCGAAGGCGGCGGTCCCTTCTTTTGGCAAGAGATATCAAGGTGATCAAAGAGCAGAATATTTGATTCTTTTTCATATCCAGTTTGCACTTGTACTAGTGTATGGATGTTTATTGAACACATGATGCTCTTAGTCGCAGCAGTTGCGGCTGATGACCATGGTCACCGTCAAGCAGCGCACGCCGCTTGACGGTGCTTCGTCGATGTTTCGTATGTGGACACGCAACGCACTTGGACAGTGCAAGGGACACGAACTCCTTCTTTCTAGGCTGGCCAAAGCATCATTTCTCACTAACTTGCACAAGTTTGGAAGCCTCAGCATTCATTTACAGGACACCTTTGACTCATGGATCCTAACAAAGGTTCCCCTCCGGTCGTTCTGGAACCTCGTGTTCGGTCGTTCCAAAAACATAGGTTTCGCACTATACGCTCTTTTTCTGGTCGGCCGTGAAACGTGTGGTCTTTGCCAATCAGTGAAGACAACACTGAATGGCCCTGCAGTGAAGATCCAACGGTAGGATCAGATCCAACGGTAGGATCAAATTTGATCACTCAGGATCTCTAGGCGCTTGAGTTGGACAACGGCAGTCCGCGCCTCCGGGCCCACAGGCCAAAAAGAGTCAACTTCAAAGGTTCAGAGGAACTTTATTCCACGTCCCCCAGGGTTAGCAAACCCTGCTCGGCGAAGCTGAAACTAAACAGAAAGTGAAACTTCAACTCAGAGAGTGCAAAGAGCCGCATATTGACGAATGCGGGCCAATTGGACGGTGTTCAACCGCAGGTGAGTAAGTCTGGCAGCGCCATCTGCCAAGTACAGCCGAGCAACGCGAGAGGATTGCCATCTTCCGCGTTGTAGGGTGCGCTCCAAGGAGCCAAACCTTTCAAAGTCGTCCGTGGCGCCTCCCCGGCGCAGGGAGTAGCCTCGCAGCTGCAAATGCTCGACAGCGAAGTGAGCAACAATGTGTTGCAGGGAAGACCGAAAAAGCTGGCCAGAGCCGCGCCATACAGGTTTGGTGGGTTCATCACTTCCCAACAGCGGCAGGAGTGAAGCCAGGATGGCGAGAACCCGGGCATCTTCGATGCGTATGTATTCGTCCCAAGAACGTCCAGTTTTGGTCTGGTGCAACTTGAGGATTCCATGACCCTGGCGAAGAAGGAAGTCGCCTGGGGCTATGGACAAAGCTTCCCCGGTGCGCAGCATGCAATGAAAGGCGGTAGCTAACACGCAGGCCATGCGTAGCCAGTTATGTGACAAGCAGTAACCGGTGAATCCCCACAGGATCTCAGCAGGCATGGGCGGTGCGCGGTTGGGAATTTCGGCCTTTCGCCAAGTTCGAAAGAGGCGCCAACATTCAGGAACCTGGTGGCGTGCTGCTGGCAGGTAAAAAGTCAGTCCACACAAACTGTCAGAGATGAGCCCAATGCTTTCACCAACTTCCCACTGGAGTTCAATCCAGCCAGCGATACGATCATCAAGATCAGCCCAGCTATGGGCTAACTGGATCAACTTCAAAATACGCTGAAGACCAGCGAAGTATCGCAATCGGGTCTTGAGCGTTATCCCTGCTTCAGCCAAGGGTACCCCGGCACGACGTCGGCGTCGAGCGAGCATGGCCGCTTTGCGGGAAGTTGCGTGACCCTTCATCCGTAGGGTTGTCCAAGGAGGCTACATGGAGCAGAATAGGGAACACTTGAGCCGCTAACACGGTGGCGTTGAACCGACGTACGAGATGTTCCAACTTCTCAGAAGCCGTACGGCCCTTGCAAAGGATAGAGATGGTCACAAAGGAATCACTGAGGTGAACCCATCGAAAGTTAAAGTGAGAACCATCCCTCAACAGCCAAGAAAGTGAGATGAGTGCTTGCCGCATCTCAAGTGCGTTAATGTGCTCGGTTCTGGACCAGCGGTTTTGGAACAAAAATCGCCAGTTCCAGAGACAACTGGGAACCGACTGACGCACCGGTGACTTCCCCAAAAACTGTCCTGTGACGACCCTAACGTCAGATCCCGTGTGGTTAGTACGTTGCAGGAGCAACTTATTCAACTCTCGAACCGGAGACTCGGGGTTCCAGTCAGTTGACCCTGTGCCAAACTGAAGGCGGCGTGCAACAGGGGCAGGGGCAGCCCAGCCCGTACAAAAACCGGGCGCCAGCCCCAAACGGCGCACCAAGTGGTCAACTGAGAAGGGGGTGGAATCCCAAGACATGCTACAGGCCAAAACCGTTGCGAACGACAACATGCTGAAAGAATCGCCGAGGAGGCTTTTACGCTTGTCTTCAAAGCCTTGTAGGTCTCCTTTTACAGCTGTCGCGCCCCAACATAGGCTTGTGTGCCCGAACCCGAAACCTAGCAACAGCTCCCGCTCGGAGGCGTCCAAGAGACGCCAGGTGTCATTTTTTGCCAAATAATATAGGGGTCCATATAATGGTAAGGAGGAAAGCGAAAGGCGTCCGCCTCCCATCGGCCTAAGGTTCCCTCGTCGCATCTCCGAATTCCTATAGGTGCTGGGGGAGGTCTAGTCCGAGGGATACTCTTCATGAAAGTGGGGAACTTAGTCGCCGAATCAGCGGGTTCCCAGGACCACCCCTCACGAAGCCACTGGCTCGAGGAAATGCCATCGCCTCTGAGCTGCAGGTCGTAGTATCCTTCTCGATCATGCCAGCTGGTTCCTGGGAGTAGGGCGCGAGGAAAAGATGTCCATGCGAACCTCGGCCGCGAGATTGGCAAAACGTCGGATGGATTCAACCGCCAAGGTTTAGCACCTGTAAGGGTTGTAATCTGGTCCCTAGCGTCAACGTCCATGCTCGCGACATTCTCGAAGATGAAATGTACGTCCGTTGGGGAAGGAAAGAACTCTCGCAGCAAACGTAGGACCCGGAGCGCTTCGAATATCAGAGAACTCTCACGTCCCTCAAGGTTACGACGACCAAACTTAGCGGCGCTCAAGTCAACACAAGGGAATCCTGCCCAAAAGTCAACCCGAGAACAGTGACAAAACCTCACACTCAACTCGCGGATTGCAGCACGATCAACCGTGCGAATGTCCCCCCAATATTCACTCGAAGGCCAACGGCGCGACGACACGCGATTTGCGGCGGAGTCGATCTCGATGACCACGGTCCCTTCGACCTGAATCCCCAAAAGATCATACGCCCGACTAGCGCCTCCTATCCCATGGAAAGCGCTCACCACGAGGATGGGCCGCCTCTCAGGAGGGTGCTCGGCGGTCCCTGCAGCCCTGAGGAACTGTAGTCCCTCCGCCGAGAGAGTCTCGGCGATGGCCGTAGCTCCGCCTTCATGCGAGGCGTCGGAACAGGTGACCACGTTAGGGATGGCCGCTGTCAGGTCCTGAAACATAAGTGGGAGGAGAAGAAGCGCATTGAAGAGCTCCCTCCTAACTTCGGGAAGGAGTCGATATCGTAACCCGGGTTTGGCAATGTAGGTCCACGTCTTGCTGAACACGGCCATGGTGGGTCGACGGAACGACATTAAAAAGACTATCCTACCAGCCACGGTCTGAAGTTCCCTCACTGTGAAAGGTGAAATGAGGAGAAACAAAATGAGCTTTGCCGTCTTCATGAGTCTCTCCAGCGAACCTCCCACCAAGTGTTTCTCTCCATCGATATGGGCCCCCAGCTCGACAGCAGTGCGAGCGCGGGTGACCCTCTTCTTTGCGGAGGAAACAATTCCGGCCGACGCCCAGGCCCGCTCTGCGGCCTCGTGCCAGCGGTGTGGCTGCTCCGGCGAATCAGCAGCCTCCGCATAGGCATTGGTGACCAGCCCGCTCGCAAAGTTGTCGAGGTAGACCTGCCACCAGTCTCGGTGAGCGAGCGGAACCACCGACTCGAGGTTGACGAGCCAGGAAGGAACGAACCGGTTTCGACTAAGCTGGTAGGCCACTGGGAGGTGAGCGGTTATAAGGACCTGGGCGGAGATCTCCTGCATCAGGGCCACCGAACTATGCCATCCCATGGGAAGGCATGAACAACAAAGATCATAGGTTTTCCCCTCTTCACGACCAATCTGCCCTCCGTCGGTCGAGATCGCGAAACAGAAGAAAGGTCTCCACTGAGGTGGCAAAGCAAACAGGTAGAATGCAGAAGACATGTCACTCTGAGAAACTTCCAAAATGTCAGAAGCCGTTACGACTATGGAGTTCCAGGCAAAGATCGAAGGGAGTTCCCGATGTCCTTGTTGGAAAGGAACAAACAACGAGTTGCAGGGGGTAAGATTCATGATCGTCCGGAGAATGGGTTTCCCTGAGGGGGTCAAGGAGTCCTTCCGGACCCCGAACAAACCGTTGTACAACCTCCGCCGTCCATGGGAGAAAACCTGGTCCCGTTCGATCCAGGAGCAAACGTTCCTCTCAACAAGGAGCCTGGCCACTGCCAGCTCTTCCCCTTTCTGGATGTGGAGTTTAGCCTGAAATCGCAACCCTGCAAACCCCGCAGGATGTCCCAACAACCGTTCCGGGTGCTCCAACCAAAACTGCGAACCAGGGGAGAGGAAGTCAACCGCTTGAATCGCCCCTCCAAAACCTACCGGTGGCAAAGCAGGTTCCATCTGTTCGACCGACAACGTCTGGGCCACTTCGACCTCCTCCCCCGAATACGACACATGTGTTCGCTTCAACTCAGCTGCGCAGTCTTTTCGAGTCCAGCGGAGTTCGAAGCTCCTGGACATGGAGCGGGTCACGGTGGCCTGGAGTTCTCCCACGGCTGCCAACTGCAAGGCAGACGATCTGCCGTTCGGCAGCAGCGAGTGATGTCCGGCCAGTAGGTTACAACCCGCTAGGCTGTTCAGCGCCCATGCACAGATGCCTTCATCTTCAGCTGCACGACTCGAATGCGCACCGGCCTTCAAACTTGGCCTGCGCTTCTGAAAACTGGATATCCGTCCCACTCTGTCTTCAACCTGGTCTGGTTGCAGAGTTGGACGAAACTGTACCACGGCCTCCCCCGGGATAGGTAAGAGTGCACGAGAGGTCCTACCTCTCAGCACCCGTCGTTTCACGGCCTTGAGACCCAAATGATATGCCAGCGGGGGAGTCCGCCCGGCTTGCGACAGATCAAGACTCAATGCACCAACCAAGCTTGAAATGCGCTGCCCCAACGTAGTGGTGTCGTGTGCCTCCTCGAGGATCTGACCAAGTTGAAAAGCGGTCAGTTGTCGTCCTTCCCCGGCGGAGGCGCCTGGGTGCTGGCCCAATCTTTCTGGCCACTCTCCTTCCATGGCTTCTTGCCCTTGTCGCCTTTTCCTTTCCCTTTCTTGCCTCTGCCTTTTCCTTTGAAATCCCTGTAGGAATCGGCCTCGTCGCCCCAGTCCTTGCTTCCCTTGCCGTAGGGTCGAGGCACCCACGTCCTCGCGGGATTCAAGCCTGCTGCTCTGTCGGAGACCTTGGCAAACTTCCGGGCTTGGAGGATGAGACTCGTGTTCGCAGCGGTTCCTGTCTCCAGCGGCCGAATCTCGAGGTGTCTCGCCGCTCGCCAGGATCCCCCGTCCGTGACTGATTGATGCACAGCCATCGCTCTCGCCGCCATGAGGTCCCCCAAGTGGTCCAACTTGCCAGACCTCAGCAGGTCTAACCCCTGCAAGAGGCAATATATCTCCCGAGCTTCTCGCGACTTGGCTCCCATCGTAGGCTTGATCTGGAGGTGGAAGTACTTGACCGCTGACACCCCGCCAATCACCGAGTCCTCGGGGACAGTGTGCTCCCCTCGTCGAGGTTCTGCAGCGATTCCCTCATGTGATTGACGAATGCCTGCAGAACCGAACCCGCTCTTCTCTGACTCATCCTCTCCAACGGCGGTGTGCTCTTGTCCTTCTCCTTCTGCTCCAGCTCGGCCCCTGACGAGTCGCTGCAGCCGTCGTCTGAACCGCTCATCCCGTTCGAGTCGTCGGCTCCTGAGGATGGGTCGTCCGGATCTCCTCCTCCGTCTCCTTCTCGCCTCTTCTTTTTGCTCCCCTCTCTTCCTGGAGCCCTGACGTGCCATAGCCGTCCTCGACGACGATCGGATAGTCTTGCTCTCCTTCTCCTTCTTGGGGGTCTTCGCTGCTTGATGCACCAGCTGGTTCAAAACCCCCTTGCCTGCCGGTTTGTCGCCTTCTCCCAACTTCCTCTTCTTGGAGGGCTTCATAGTAGTGTCTTTTGTATTCTCTAATGGCAAGTCCTCCAGCGCCTCTTTCTTCTGCTCCCTGAAGTCCTTCTTGGTCGCGGGCGGTGGTGGTAAGCCGCCCTGAGCAGAGTCAAAAGCGCTGAACGGCACGCCACCACCCTTGACTCTGGAATGCCGGCCGCGGCCGTGCGCCTCCTGGAACCTCAGCTTGGCTTCGCTCAGTGTCCTCCTCAAGGCGGACCGACGTTCGTCCCTGCCTGGTGGCAACCCCGAGTCTTTGGGCAACTCGGCCGGGGGTTTGAGCTCCCCCCAAACGCCGTCGTCCTCGCCAGCCTGCCACAGCTCTCCTTCTCTGACCTCCTCGATACGCGCGTCGGGACGAACCCCAGCGGCTGGCGCCCGGGACTCCTCCCCGCGCAGGTTGCCCGACCACTCGTCTCCTTCCGAAACAGCTCCTCCAGCGTGCCCTTTGCCTCGAAGTTTGTCCCAGTCTCGCTTGCGTCGCTTGAATGCCTTTGCAACCTCTTGATGTAAATAAGAAACGTCGTAGTCTGCCACCTTGTAAAGGGTGAACCTGGTGGCATGTCCTCCACAACCTTCTACCGAACATGGTAACTCTCCGTGACAGAGGTGCAACACCAGCTTGCGCCTGTTGAAGATCTGAGCCAAAGTAGGTCCCGTCGTGCCCTCGGATCCTCCAAGGTAGGCGACCTGCAACTTGAGCCCCGAGGTATGGATGTCGGCGAGCGACTGCACCCAGAACACGCCTTTCGAAGCCTCGCAGCCCTCTACACCTGTCAAAGCGGTCACCTCCAAGATGTCATTGTCCCCACTCCCGAAGGCTTCCTCCTGGCCTCTCCGGATCACTCATCCCGCAATCCCAACTCAGCGCTCCCCCGGGGGAGAGCGCCCGAGAACGGGTTGGCCTTCGAGCTCTCGAGCAAGGGGTCGATGGGTCGTCCTTGCGTCTCCGGCGCTCGTCCGCCTGGAGTGCTGCTGGTGTTTGGTTCCTCCTCGGTGTTTCCTCTGAGAATCGTGAACTCTATGCCGATGGCGGTGCCCGTCCTCTTCACGACGGCTCTGACTAGTCGGGTGCCCCGGAGGTGGGCGAGGTGGTGTCCGAGGTCTCTTCTTCGGTGGTTGAGACTTTGGCGTCGCCCCCGTAGAAGAACGATGGTGCGGAGCCTCCTCCGACTCTTCCTCGTAGTACCCCTCGTCCACTTCGACCTCCTCCTCCACCTCGCGGCCAGCGCCGGATCCGCGCTCGGCCTCCCGGCCAGCAGGTCCCTGCCCGGCCTCGGAGTTGGATGCTCGACGGAGCTTGCGGACCAGCGAAGCAGTTCCTAAGATCGAGCTCTCGGCTGCCTCACGGAGTGCCGGTGAGGACCACTCCCTCTTCAGGTCAGCCAAGAGAGCCTCGACTGAACTGCAACCGAGGCACCACGAATCTCCCGGTGCCCGAAGTCCTGACCTGCACTTGTTACAGGTCATGAACTTCAAGCCACAGCCTATGAACCGAAACGGCCGCCACAAGCGTGCACTCAACCTAACCGTCTCTACAAGACTTTATCGGACTGGACTGAGCACACACACCCATCAGTTCGGTCCTCGGGAACCACATCAATGCTTGCATGCTCGTGCACTGTCCTTGCCTGGCAATCTGGAATGCAGGAGCAGCAAACCTTGATGAGCTTCGGCATCTCCATCGTCACATGATTCAAGATCGCCTTCTGCAGGGCACTGGTGCCAAAGTCCTACAGGACTTCGAGATTCTTCCTTATAGCTTCATGACTAATACCTTCCAATGAGTAATACCTTCCAATGACTAATACCTTCCAATGAGTAATACCTTCCACATCTAATCACCTCCTTAGGTATTGGTCGAGATTGTACCGAGCCAGAGTCCTTCGCAATGACTAATACCTTCCACATCCTTCCACAAACATCCGGATGCTCATTCTCACAAGCTGCATGTACTGACTTCCGCGCCGTTTCCAGGCACCAGATCACCAGTAAAGGGCGGGGCTTGAGCACCACCAAGGAGTTCCGGCTTTGAGGGGCTGCCGATCGCCGGTGGATCACCCGCGCGGGACTGGGCCCGCACCGCGTAAAACCATCCAGCAAAGGAGGTCTTTTCGACCAGCACCTTCCAAACCTCCGAAATGGTGACATAACATAGAATTGATTTTCGATTTTTTGTTTTACATATATCGTTAACCTTTTTAAATTAGTTAGAATTATTTATTCTTTATAGAGGCCGAGATGACTTTCCAACGTTGCAGGAAACGGTGGTCCAGAGATGTGATAACGAGAGACCTGCGCCACCTGCGAGTTCGCACCACACACACCACTCTCTCCAGATGCTTTGGACGTCCTGGCCGATGGTCGAGGAGACCAAGACCCCCTCCACGTAATCGCTGCGCTCCAGCTGCAAGCGCACGGCCTGGAACGACGAAGGCTCCGCGTGTTGGGCCGCCGTGTGTTGGCCGGTGTCTGGTGGAACTGTTCCAACTTCGAATGAAGAATTCCTACGCTGGGCCAGTGGGCCTCCTGCGGCATGGTTCAATTGACTCCAAACCTGACCCCAAAGACATCATTTCAAGAGAGGGCTACCATTTTGGAACAGAGAATTCTTAATTAAGATGTTGCATGAGGTTTCTTTACCATGCCACCCGTGAACAAGCGTTGGAGTTCAGCCCTTTCCGCGCTCCCTCCCAAACCGATGAATGTTCGAAACCCCAGGACCCCCTCCATATCCCCGAGGAAATCAAGTCCGACCCCTTGGCATTCGGCGCCCGTCTCGGGTCATCGGGCCCTTTGCTCCCTTCGTAGCGTTCTAGTTCCGTTCGTAGTAAGGCCAGGAGCCCCGTTCGTAGCTTCCTGAACAATGTCATTCTGTAAAAGCTATAGTGATTGGTGAGAAACCCCAGACCCCTCCAGAGGATTCGGGCCCAGCTGCCCAGCGTCTGGGTGGAGGTGTTTCATTCTTGGATGGGGTGTTTTGTCCGGACCTCCAAAAGCTCTGGAATCTTCAGCCCCTCATCGCAGGCGGTCTCCAGACTGCACCTCGGCTTCGTCCGAGTCCGGCTTTCCGTCCACCGTTCGTCCGTCGGTCCACCGGACGAACTCGTCGGATCTGAAGCGGGATTCGACACCGTTCACCCGTTGACACCAAACAAAGGATTTATGCAGATTCGACACATGTAAAGATTCTGGCAAGAACCACTGTTCACTGTTCAACCAAAAGAAACATCAACAAAAACACCCCCAAAAACACGGGGAGGGCAGACTCGTTTTTGGGCCCTGGCCTTTTCTGACGTGAATCGACGTCATGACTCAGTCAAGTTGCCCTTCAGGTGCCACGACGATGGACAGGGGATCAAACATTCCAGCTTGGCTCACGGTATCCATAGACTTCTGCGAACCTGCGACATGTCCGATGCAAATTCGCAGGTTCGCAGATCATCGGTCACCGGTGTCATCCGGTTCCGGGGGTGGCGAAAGCTGCATCCATGTACTGTGACAAATACAGACGTGGTCCACCTACCAGAGATTAATGTCAACACATGTCAACACACTGGATTTATCAAACCCCCCTTTCAAGGTCAAAAAAGGTCAACAAGGTTTGAGATTGGAGGTGTTGGAGACCACATCCCCGTAATAAAGGTGATTTCCTGATGATGGATGATGCGATGATGACCTGGACCTGACGATGGATGATGGATGATGAGATTCTGTGTGACAATGAGAGCTCTGAGTATATTGGCACAAGTTTGATAAGAGATCTGATAGGATAGATCAGAGAGCCATGCTAATTGGATCACTGCATATAAGAGCACGGAGGACAAGGAGTAGGAGATGGAGGCTCTGTGTGGCGAGGGTGGATGCCTGTACGGTCAGATTGGTGGACTGTTGAGGATTGGTATGACCTTATAGCCTATGACACCCAGTGGGAGAGAGATGAACAAATAGTTAGTGAGTACAGGAATATGGGCCTTCCAATATGGAGGAGATGAAGTTAGCACTGAGGCATTTGGAAGGATGAACCAGCTGCCATGGTGTTTGTGGGGTGTATGGCCTGGGATTTGGCTCGGCGGGATTTGGCTCGAAGGCTCGCTGCGTCAAGGACGGGCTGACGGGACGACAAGACCGATGAGACTGCAAAAAAGGGCTGAGGTAGGAAGGTCTATGAAAACCATTGAAAACCACCATTCGCCACTTGCACTTCCTGCACAAGTAGAAAAAGCGTGCAGGTGGCCAAATCAACCTGCCACCGGGATCGCCTCGCGTCACATGCCGGTCGAAACAGGATGGAGACCGAGATCGGACGGGATCGGAAAGGGGATCGGACAGGATCGGACCTGACGGGAAACAAAGGCGGAAGAGCGACATCCACGCAACAAAGCAATTTCGAAACGTGCTACAAGGCCAAGACGTTTGGCCCAGTTCTTCTCTCAAAGGCCCAGTTCTTTCGGGGCTCTTTGTTTTTTTCTGTCACCGAAGAGGGGTCGCGGCATCTCAAGCCGAAGCTTGAAAACACTTGCGTTGAGAACGGAAACGACAGCAGAGACACAGCGGGACTGCTGTGAGTGAGACACAATTGTCACCATCAAGGAGCACACTTTCTGGCCTTGGGCATACGACACGTGCAAAACATGGGAGACAAATAGAGCATGCTGCCATGCCGATTCTAGGTGTTTCATGATTTGTGCATTAAAAAACAGTGGAATTTAACTAAAACAGCAAGATAGTCCGACTGACTCCATTTTTGCGGTTCAAAATGCAAAGCCACGAGAACTACTGGAGCGTGATATATCTATGTGCAGCTGTTCTACCCGGGGACGGGTCATGCGCTTTGGCCAGGACTAGTGACCAGCAGTCTGCACACAGGACTACAGGTCTCGGCTCCCACGAGCATCGCTTGACCAACGGGGGTCTAATGCAAACTAAGTCCTGCAGCGAATCTTATGGTTTATATATCCCTGACAATCCAATCATGTACTATTCACATATTCGGCCAATCATGCAGTACTTGCGTGTTTATTATGGTTCATATTGTAGATGTCCATCTCACCTGATAATTGTTTTTACACAACCACCGCACCTGCAAAGATACTTCGTGGCACATAGCGACCCGTTCGGCTTTGGGAGAAGAGCACCTGGCTACAGCCGTAGAAGTCCTGGCGTCCACGACGCTGACCGACTGGGACATGTGAGGACCAGTTGACTGATTGGAGTTCGCGTGGGTCGAAAGCAACGCTTTGGGGGTCAGTCCAGGCTTCTGAGAAGAGCGAAGAACCGATGTCCCTTTCTTCGGAGCGCCTTCGGAGTCTGGGATCCAGGTCTGTTTCTTTTTTGCAACTCACACTGAAAAGCAATCCGGAAAGCACACTTGGACCTTGATAAGGAAACATTATATAACTTCTGCTTGGGAAGATCCAGTCTTATTCACATATTACCACATAAAAGAACATAAAATAGACGTGAGACCCCTGCAGCTTGTGCAAAAGACCACTCCCATCTGTCCTGTGCTCGTCCTGTGGTGTCTACCCCGTGCTCTTTCATCACATGCTGCCAGCAGTCGATTCCTAAACCCTCGTCCAGGTGGATGGACAGCAAGGTGGCGGCATCATTGGGACGCCTCGGCTTTTTCGTCGGTTCAAGGAATGCTGCCTAAACCGGACGTGTAGTAAACACCTCACTGGGTACTTTTGGGCCTGTACAGGATGTGGGACACGCCCCAAGTTTCATACGGACTCATACTGCAACTCCACTTTCATCAAACTTGGCTGCCAGGTGCTTGAAGACTTTAACTAGCAAAATGGTGAAGCCATCGCCGAAAAGTGTGCACCAAATCACCAAATTGGGCCCACCCAGATGTCACACTCACCTTTTTCTCCACAAAAACACAGGTTTTGAGGGTACAAACCCCATCCAAGGATCCAGATGTCACAAACCCATCCAAGAATCCTTACGGATTGAACATATTGACCACTCCAGTTGTCACACTCTTCGCCCCTTATCAGCCAAGCCGCACCCGCCCAGAGTGCCCCGCTGCTGACGGACCTCTCCTCCTGCCGGTTGGAGGATCACGGTCAAAGCATATCCACCAATCCAATTAAGCTATAGACCCTTTTAAAAGCGAACAAACACACAAAACAACCCTTTTAAATAGACCCTTTTGTTTGTGCTTTTTTTTCTATAGACCCTTTTAAAAGCAACTGTTAAAGAAGTATACAGAATGTGAATAGGACATTGAGACATATGTGCCTTTTAGGGTAAGTGGTTTGCAGTTGTTCTGCTGGAAATGTGTACTTTGTAGAGGAATTGAACTTCTCTTTTGTGAAATACACAATGAAAAACACACATCAAAAAAACGCATGTCAATGTGAATGAAACGTTATACAATGGGAAAAACAAGAAAAACACCCAAAAGGCTTTGGCATCGGACTGGCGTCTTTGAGTTCTTAGATTGTCTTGGACTGGACCATTTTTTCCTCTTTGCTCTCTGGAATCCTCCGGAATTGGCCAAGTAACAGCCAGTGGATCCAAGCATACCACTCTTATACGACTCGTACAATGTAAAATCATGTTTTTTCAACATGGCTTCACAATCCAATTGAGTTTCTCTTTTTGATTTCAATCTACACTAGGGTCACCAGGGGTTCAACTCTCGACGAACGAAAATCATCCGTCGACCCAGAGACCGGGCCCCTTTGCAGCAGTTCCACCCCGCCCGAACCACCAAAGCTTCGGTTTACTCCGCGCCGCGCGGCTTGGACGCGGTACCGGTGCGCCGAGTTCGGTACCGGCGCTCCCGGCGAAGGCGGGAGCGGAGCCACCAATGTATGTGAGGGGTGTCTGGTACCGTGCAAGCACTCCCGATCCTGCGCAGTGATGGGCACAAGTTGAATGCATGGGTGACTTGCACGAGATATCACTGGGGCAAAAGTGGAAACCAAAGGCATGCTATAGGCAAATGAGTAAAATCAGCAACCGGAGGTCTTCCTCCTTCCTTTGCTTGCTTCTGCTATGACAAGCCCAAATGGTTGTGGATCAGAAGAGACGGTGTTTCACGCCCTAACTCCTGAGCATGAGTGCTTCAAAACCAGACCCTTTGAACATCTCCCCCTAAACTCTTTTCTCCCCCCAAGCCCCAACTTCATCGCTAGTAGGTTGGAGGCCATTCCTATTAGGTTGGAGGCCATCGCTATTAAAAACAAAGGGGTGCCGAACTTGGAGGAAGTCGGGGTGCCCCTGTCACATCCACGGCCCCTGGATGGGACGAGCCAAACCACCCCGCTTTGTGACTCCTGGAAGAAAAGTCATCGCTAGAGTTTTTGTGACATAACCCCCATGGGTTTTGGTATACTTTTTAAAACCAGTTTGCAACAAGCCTCAAAAGCATTGTAGGCAGCATAAGGGCGCCTCCATGTAACTCTCTTGATTCTCCTGTAGGTCAGACAGGCTAGCTCACTACAGTCACCAAAGGCCCTGTGTCCTGGGACATGGGGGTTTGGTCTAATCAAGGTTCCCAACGCCCCCATGTCCCAGGCATCGATGCGCTACGCTGCGCTGCGCCGCTTCGCCCGGTCCTTTGACCGAAGGGGTTGGTTCAAACCAGACGCCGGGGCCATCACCTGGAGACCGAGACCGAGGGTAGGGAGGTGAGGTGGTTGCTGTGAAAATGGCGGGAAGATGGGGGAAACCATGAAACCGATGATTGTAAGATGATCGTCTACTGCTTTGGAACGTGAAAGGGTATATATATTGTATATATTGTATATACTGTATGAGATTCTTTTCTCCGGGGTCTGCCATGGTCTTGTGCGATTTACCTGGTGCTTTCCAGGAACATGGAGCTCAGTTGGACACCTGACCCTTCGAAGAGCCCGAAGGGACTCCGGGGGCTTTGCAGTGAGGAGAGAAACCAACCCACGATCGAAAGCAGGACAACCACCTCAACAGCAAAGATGTTCCGTGATTCCGTAGAGGCTCTTTGTCCATCCCATGTGCTGCAGGATGTCTTTCCTCAACGTGCAGGATATAATACCTGCAAGCTGAATGACCTGATTCGAAGCCGAGACATGGTCAAACGGGTTCTAGGTATAATGACCCAATACGTCGTCCTGAAACGTAGAATGATCACCGTTGGGGCGAATATATATTCTTGATCATTCTGATTCTTGTATCGGATATCGACCTCTGCTACGTACAAGAACGCCCCGGCCGGCATCCAGACACGCCCCGCCCCGCTCGGCCTTGCCTCGAGTCTTTACCTCCTTCTCCATGTTGGCCATGGAGCGGATCTCTGCCTCTGCCACCTGCATCAGCTGGTACCTGAGCGTGAGATAACACCACCGTGGCGCGAACAGGAGCGTGAACGAGAGCGTGAGGCGCGGAAAGGATCAAAAGGCAAACACCGCCACGGTGACTGCGACAGTTGGTGACAGTGGAAACAGAATCGATCTTGGCGGGGTATAGATGCCCTAGGCTTCCAACAACCATGTAAGAGTCTGAGTCCCGAAGAACACCTCCTTTACTCAGAATTTTACACGACAAGTGAGCGAAGCAGAACATCTTCTTGGAAGGCGGATGCCTTCGGATGCCCAGACGAAGGAACGTGTCGTTTTTCACTGGTCAGACCAGTACCGGTCGGACTACCAAGGGGTGGCGCCGATCTGGGTCATGGCGCCAGGGGACCTGGGTTGACCACCCAAAACCCTACACCGAGTTCGTCGTACCTCCGAAACGAAGGTATGACTGGACCCGACAATGGCACCCACCCCAAACCCGTTCGAAGGTACGACTGGAGGCCTAGGGAAATGAACAGAATAAGACTACCACGTTCGATAGTGCGGAGGCTTAATTCGTTCTGGGTACATGTGTGACAAACTCACATTGGACGGATGAGCCCAGAATGCCTTTAGTACCAGTCGAGACTCTTCGACGCGACGGGAAGAACATAATAGAATACCAAACACGGTCAACCTATCTCTGTCAAGGGTGGGGAAAACCGCTCTTGATGGGCCTAGCTCGGCCCCTCTGTATTTTTTGGTGCCAGATGGGTGTGAGCCCATGTCTGTATGTCCCGGTCGAAGGTGAACCGTTCGGAACCCAAGATGGACCAATCTTGGGGGCTTTTTCTATTGACCAAAAAAAACTTCCAAAAGAAGCTTGTGATGTGGGAAGACTCACCCCAGTAAATCCTCCAGTCCCATGGATGGTCTGGGGTGTCTATGAAGTGGAGTCTACAACTTATCCTCACTCCCAAAATGATAATCTCTGCAGATGCGCAGCCTCAATTGTCAGGTTACACAGTCAGGCTCCTCATGACTCAAATCTCCATGTGGAAGGGACAGGGAGGCACCCCAAAGCTCAAAAGCTTCGACGTCAAGGTTTCAAACATATCCTTTCCAGTCAAGGCTCAAGGACTCATAGAGCCGAACAAACTTCAGAGATGGCCATCCAGTGGAAGCCCAGGAGGCTGAAGTTAACACACATCCAGGAGGCTGACCCGATGATGTTATGATTTCCATGCGATACAACCATCTGTTTGGTATTCGGATTTCATGGACACCCGAAATTGGGGCCATGCTATCCACGGAAAGGCCCATGGGAGTGTACGAGTCCGGAATGGAGTCTTTGAGGGGTCGTGGCTACACGCTGAGTATAGGCTTCTGTCCATCAGAAGAGAAACTCAGTATGCTGAGTATACTTGACATCCAGGGTTGCCACACCCCCTGACATCCAAGCTACCAATCCTTGAAGAACTGGCTACTCGCGGAACGTTTGTTGCAGAGGGCGACCACGCTGTCAGGAACAGCTGGAAGCTGGTCTCCTTCAAAACTGGGGGCACTGATTGAGAAGTTGGGCATTGCAAATACTCCAAGGCTAATCAAGGCCATATAGCTGGAAGCTGAGTGACCCCTATTTTGGACCATCGCAAACCACCCAAAGTACGGTCCTTTCTTAAAACAGGGAACAAATGGGCTCTAGGTCAGCAACAACACGCCCGACCAACCTGCTGATGAAACAACCATCCACTTGCTGGACATTGCCCCAAATGACTTTTGGCGCTTGCCATAGATGACAGATTTCAGTGTACCAGCAACAATCCATATAACCAGTTTTCTCATCAAGTGTTGTGTCTGCATCCCCCACCTCCAAAAAATACTTTAAGAAAAACGCATACGATTTGCTTAAGAAAACCAGGGGAACAAAACGATTCCCCAGGTTAGGGGATTTACCTACTTCAGCAAACTCATGCATGCAAAATTGCCTTCAGAACCTTGGAGCCTTCAACCCCCTGATGTCTAACCCCCCAAAAAACCTCATGAAACCTCCATCCCAAGCAGAAGAACATCAAGAACCTCTCACCCCGATCTCCCAAGCCACGCGACGGAGTCGGCCGAGGACGCCGACCGTGACCGCGCCGCCCCGCCGGCGTGACCGCGCCACGCGCCAGGCCTTCGACCTCTCTTGGCAGGTCTTCGCTCTTGGTGCCTTTCGGCTCCCCGGTCGCCTCGATACCTGGGACGGAACGGTCGGACGCCGCCGGTGTGAGATGAGGAGTGAGATGGGACAAAAGGTGGTTTGTTTGGCCGTTGTTTTCCGTTTTCTACACGATCCACCAGGAGGGTGGTCTCAGTGTGAACTCTAAACATTTAGAGAGAATCAGGGTTCGGCAGTTGGCACGCTTGCGAAGGGTATGGTTCATATTGCTGGCACGATTGCTGGCACCAAAAGCCAAACTTAGCTCAACTCGGCTCTAATGTTGTTCTCGATATGTCTGCCCGCGGGAACTGATCCTTGATTGATCATGTTAATGCTGCCCCATGCACGTTCCCATGTAGATGGCATTATCTATATATTCAACACTCTATGGTCAGGCAGTCCATTACCTCATTGCTGGCCTGATATATGCCAGGAACGCAAGGTGCATAGTGATAACATGATAGGTTCAAGTAGCTCATAGGATTTCCAATAGCATCTTCTTCAGCAATTGGAAAGACCATGAAAAAAGTAACTCATTCCTCCACAGCACTGCTGATCACCCCAACATGGCAAATCAGGAAGACATGGAGATCTTCTCAGCTGTCACCAATCTGTTGGGACACTCCATGTCAAACTGGGAAGCAATGTATACAATTTGCGATCACCAAACAACATTTAACAGCATATGATATGCTCCTTTCATATGCTACCCAAAGGCTCATGGACCCTCAAACTGCTACATGTTGGTTCGGTCCAGTTCACCCTGGGTGTGAGGGTCATTTCACCCGGACCGAACTGGTTGGGTCCTGCCACCTGAGCCTTTGGGCTTTGACACGGATGCAGCAACGTCTCGTAAGATATTCCTTCCCAGTCTAGACCGGTGCCCGCGGAACCTCGCTCCCGGAACACGCGGTTCTACACGCGGTTCCACTCCCGTTTCGCGGGAACCAGTTCGTCCCGCGGTTTCGTTCCGCGGTGCTCTGGAACCACCTCTTTGGAGTCCAGGCCCATTGTGTCATACCCATGTACTCCTCAGGTCCGGCCATGGCAGGCGAAGTGAGAAACGAAGCATGCGAAGCGAGCAGCGGCGGGCGAACGGCCGAGCGGAGCCCCGTGCCCAATCCGTGCGTTCCTGAGCGGTGGGGCGGCATCGAAACGAGGCGGCCAGCAAGGGCGCAATCGGAAACCAAACAGTCTAGTTTAAGCGAAAGAAGTGCCATGCAAAGCCACAGCTGCGAAAGAATTGGGAGTCTCATTGGGCTGTTTCAGAAACCGAGTGGAGGGTTGTTTGATCGGATTCGTTTTAATTCCATGACTGGGGTCATCTACATGACTCACTGGAACTGGAAGCCTAGCATACCACGATCATCCAGCCCAAGGATGTACAACTGATCATATCTATCCACTACCGTGATGTACCATTCGCTATGTATGGTTTCCCTCACCACCTTCCACTTTCATCGACTGGTCTTTCACGGAACACCCCACGAATACCATACCCAGACACGACTAATGGGACTGGCATATTTACATACTGGTACAAACAGAGCCCCAGGTCAACCACCCCCGTTTTCTCGGCAGTCCGGACTGGCAGTCCCGTCGACGTGTCGTGTCTAGACTCACGTCGTCTTCCCATCGACGCAGCGACCGAACGACCCCAGGACCTCGCCGCGTCGATTCACCGCGCCACGCCGCGTTGATGCGCCGAGACTCCGAGGTGTGTTGCTCCGTGGGATCCTTGGCGTTCCCAGCCGCTTGGCCTCGGCGGAAAGGAACGACGAACCAACGCAACAGCACGAACTGAACCGTGGACGCTGGATTCAGGGTCTCAGTACGTTGGTGAGTTAGACCAACTGGTTTGGACTAGTAACGACGAACTGGAAGACTGGGCAGCATGGGTGTGCTGAATGAGCGCTCCGACTGATTCAAATGGTTTCACTTCAGTGAACATCAAAAAATTTGGTATTCGGATTTCATGGTCATCTAAATCCATGCCATGCCACCCACTTTCCATGATTGTTTCATGGAGTGCATCCCTTTTTGTCCTTACACTGGGCCGTCACTTCCACCGAGGGCCGTTCACTTGGATGCGCGGAACGCATGCTGCTTTGTGGGCGTTTCACCGTAACACATTGCTGGTTCAGCGGAAAACACCCCACACGCCGGGGCGTGATCGTGCCGTTGTGCCAATCCCAGGTCCCCAAGAGAACGAAATCCACGCTCATCGAACAAACAACCGAGTGGCCCTTCTTCACGCTCTGAGCCAAGATCGCCAAGTCTTTGATGTCTGTCAACCCCGCCTCCTTAAGTTCCTCCATGGCCTCTGTCACACATCTTCTGAGTGCGAACCAGAGGGGGGGAAGGAGGCCATGATTATATAGCTGCAAAGATGACAAAACAGTTTGTTTTGTGTCCTGTTGTGCTTAGTCTTCTTGGTCTTCTGATCATGTAGTTCTGGGAGTTTACTTTCCTCCTACTGTCCGCTTCTCCTTTCTTTTCAATGGGGTTGGATTTCGATGGAGCGTTGCGAGAACAGGTGGGTTCATATGGCACCGCAAATTCCTTTTCGTGTATCTTCGAGTTTCTGTCCTTCTTGGTTTTGCCAATGACGACGGAGAATCGACAAGTCAACGGTTAGTCCGTAGGACACCGCCGTCGACCCCGACCCTGCTTCCTCCAGCTTTCACGGCGGAAAAGGAACCGAAGCCCTCCAGCGTCCGCGCGCCTGGTGCACCCGTTCCAATCGATCTGAGGGCAAACGTCCCAGCTGCAGGGGAAGTCGACTGCCACCACTTCCACCTGCAGAATAGAATTGGTGGGAAGGTGGGGAGTCCAGGGCTCAGATGGAGCAATGTTGAATTCAATTCGATGATCCAAACTAGCAACTGTTTCGGGGCAATTCTCGTTGATTAGCCGCAATTGCAGATTCTCAGAACTGGTGATGTCTTTGGCTCCATTTTTCAGGTTGCACATCCATCCATTACGGCCATCTGGGTCTGTGTAACAACTCCAAGTCCGATCCTGGTAAATGGACCGGAAGAAGAGGAGGAACACCGGAAAAAACAATATAAACACAAAAAACAACGACACACCAAGAAAAAACACGACACGCATTTAAAACAAGTACTTAATAACATAAGTCTGTTTCTAGACAAAAACCCATCCGCAGCCCCTCCGCCGGTCTGACCGACGAAGACTGACCGTGGGCGGGGCGTGTGACGGTCCATGCCCGGGGACAGCGTCCTGGACACGACCTCGTCGGTGATGTTCCCATGACCCGAACGCGACACGTCTGGGACCAACAGAGAACCCGAACGTTCGACTATCCCAGCATAGGTACCTCAGTAAGGTCCGAACGTTCAGGTCACTGGATACCTCTCTTGGGACTACCATATAGGACTGCCGCCCCAGACTCCCCAGCCAACCACCCCTGGCGTTTTCTCGGCAGTCCTATTATGGTAGTCCCAGGTCCGGGTCGTGTCTGTGTGATTATGGAAAAAATGGCATCCGGTTGGTTCTTGGTTCCCGGTGCCCCAAAAGAGCTCACGCAGGACTCGTTTTTGTGATGTAACGTCTGCTTTGCAAGGACGAACACACCCGGGAGGTTCTATTCTCGCCTGGACTGTCCGGCTGGCTGTTGTCCTCGTTGTTGTCGGCGTTCCCCATGATGGGACAAAGATACGCCCAGTGAAGGAGAAGCCAATCTGGGACCCCTTTTGAACCAGTGACACATCATGGAAGGACTCATCGAGTTGTGGCCAGTGGCGACTTTGAGGGCTTCCACAAGTGATATATATATATATATATAGAGAGGTTGAGTGACCTTATAGGACCTTACTGAGGTACCTATGGGATAGTCTATAGGGTTCTTCAACCTCTGTTGGTACATACAAATTCCTGTTCCTGTCGCTTTGATGTCTGACACAACATCAAGTGGTGCTTGCATTGATTCCATCTCGAGCTTGAGACGAGGCAGCTGCAAATCAAGGCCCTATTCTCAAACCGCAGAGCCGGTTGCTAGTTCAGGGTATTGCTGAACAGGAAAACTGCGTTGTGAAGCAAACAGTACAGACTGGCTCCCACATTTCATGTATAGAACGAAGAGAGCTCTGTTCTGAGCTGGTCAGGCGGTTTCCATAGTGTAGGTTTGCGGGGGTTGGCTCAATTGTCTGGGTTTGACATTGATTGATCGTCGCCAGTTTGCTTGGGCTCTCCGGGAGAAAGAATGCCAAGTGAGCCCAACCAACTAAACAACTTCAACAAGCAAACACCTGCTAAACCCGTCAAACTCTGAACTCTCCGTATTTTTATTGCCCAAACGCTACTCCAGATGCTCATTGACCCTCAAACTTTTGAGGTCCACAACATTCCAAAACCCTAGTTGTGAGGGTCAAAACCCTAGCGAACTGAGGGTCCTTTCTGAGCCTTTTGGGCTTTGACACGCGGTCCATCTGATTCATGTTTTTTTGTCGATGGGCAGCATCCCTTAGCACTGTGGAGCTCGTCCTAATCCGGGTTGCCGGAAGTCTCCCGAAGGGAGCCCTCGCACAAAACATGCATGACAAACCATTCCGATAAGAATCCTGCCCCCCAAAAAACTCATGTGTCGCTTCTTTCCTGCCAAACTCGTGAATTTTTACTCCCACCCACCTTGCACAAGAACTTCTTCCGACTTCTTCCCCACGTCCGTCGGCGCGAACTCGGGCGCTCTCTCCGCTTGGCTTCGCCGGGTGGCGAGGGTCTGACCTCGTCGTGCCAGATCACCGGTGCGCAGGGCCACGTGCTCCGGCCTGGAGAGCGATGCGCGGAGGACGGATGCGGAGAGAGCCGGGAGGATCCGCGGGACCTCGGTGTGTTGAGGCGCGGATGCGCGGAGAGTAGCTGTTGATGTGTTGAGGATTGAGGGAGAACACGAGATCCAGGGAGTGTAGTCACTGGTAGTGTCACTGGTACAGTCCCTTGGTCAGGAACAAGTGGTCCGACTCCATTCTTTTGAAAGGGCCTCAAAAATAAGAGCAATGGCCTCCGACCTAGAAGCGATGGCGGAATGGCCTCCTTATACGACTTCATGCGGAATTGCGCTCAGAATCTGATTCTGGACAAAAATGCTTGAGAATATTGACATTTCTGCAAGAGCTTTCAATCGTCACTGTGGTTCAAAAGGCTCCTGGGCCTTTTTGCGTGCTTGGCTTTGACCAAACTAGCTTCGAAGCTTCATGTTTCGGGCCTCTCTGCTTGAGACATCCGCATGGAGAAATGAATGAAATTCTCCTGCCAGGACACAGAAAGAACGACTTTGCCACAACCAGGTGCTGTTCCGCAACCTGCTGGAGGTTTGTCGCCAGCTGTGATCTTTTTGTCAGAAAAAGCATGTGAATCTCAACAGAAACCGCACAGACAGAAGCACCCAACAAGCCAAAATTCCTGAAATGAATCTCTCCGTTTGCCTGGAACCCTAACTGTCAGCTAAAACCCTTGATGTTTGGTTTAACCAGTCTCTTGATGTCTCTTCTCCTCTGGCAGCACCAGCGGCACCAAGGACAAGGTTGACCTGGATGGAATATTAGACACTCCCTGAAATCATCACGGAAGTGAACCATGACACTTCGGCCCTGGGAAGATCATTCTCCTCAAACAGGTCGTTTTCTACTCCAGGCTTGTACCATGATTCGTCCACTCTACGGATCCAGTCATACCGAACCTGAGCTACGGTGATCCCTTCGACGAGACATGAGACGGGGTACAGCATCCCTCCCCAGAGGCGATCCGTTCGGACCCCCTCCACCATCTGCGAACCATGCTGTTTCGCTCCTCACCCGGGTTTTTGGTGCGGGTCAATGTCACGGACGGTCACGGGTCACGGGTCCTGCCACGGGTCGCCTTTGGGGTCGCCTTTGGGGCGATTTGGGGTCCCAAAGGCTCATTGTTTCACCCCAAAGACGTCCTCATCGTCCCAAGTCTCCCTTTGAACGGAGCGGAACTGTCACACCCGAACGCGACCGAACCGGGTTACCCGCTCTACCAGAAGGACCGCATGGCTCCTCTACAAAGCAGGGATTTTTGATGTTCCAATGTGGGTCTCGGATCCAGGGCATCACTAAGCTTGTTGAACGTACGGAACTGTCACCTGTGTGTGGTCTTCTTTTCTTCTTCTGAGAGCTGGAATTCGGGAGGGGGGTTCACTGTGTTTGAAGCAATTCTACAAGTGAACCACCCGCCACATAACATGAAAGGTGAAGGCAGTCTTATGTGCTTTTTGACCCTTGTCACCTTTGTCTGAAATAGACTTCAAAGGGTTAAATCCACAACCCTCAAAGGGGGAATGACAACCTTCAACCACTCTGCTGAGCAAGGCGGCAAGGCTTGTTTCGTCTGCAGGGTTGCTACCAACTGAGTTGACCACTGGGTCAATGGGTCTTAGCTCAAATCCCAGGCTGTGGTGGTTATAGGGAGTGCCCCTTGTCACGGTACACACCCTAGAATGTCCTAGAACCAAACCCTATGTGTTTGAGGGCAATGATTCTTTGGGCAGTTGTTCTGGGCTCCATGAAGAGCTTTTGCTGTGAAAACTAGGAAGTGGGAAAATATGGGAACACCCGCGGGAATATGGATGGACGTCCATTCCTTACTTAACCAGTCAGTATTGCTGGCTTCGGACGACTGTGGTGCTTTCGAAGCTCAGCTGAGCGCTCCGGACATCTCGTAGAAGTCCACGCCCACCGACTGGGCTCGGGCGCCAATGGCCATGCCTGGAAGTCGAGCGAAGCTTCTTCAGATCCCACGCGCTGCACGGGAGCTTCAGCACTTCAAGCGGCTACGTTCAAGAAAGGATGTCTTGACACGAGACCATGTGGAATTGAACCAAAATCAGTTCACACATCCTTAAACAACCAATTTATTTTATGCTTTGGTAGAGAGGTAGAGGCCTCTATTTCTCCGTCCTTGTCACGTAGGCTTCACCGAGTCGAGGTCGGTCGGCGATCTGTGCGACCGATGCGAGCTGTGCGCGCCTTGGGCACCTTGCCACACGCCCAGGTGGACGCCCAGGAAGGAGATGTCGCCGAAGGTTTCCTATTTCCAAAGGGTTGCAAATTTGAAAAAAAAAAGAGAGGGAGGCTTCTGGGTGATGAATGGTGATGATGTCCCATGTTTTACCATGTTTTTTTGGGGTTTTGGGAGGAAGTTTTCCCTCTTTCGAAGGTGTGTCCCATTTCCACCCCAAAACCATGGGGTTGCGAGTCGGGGCCCAGGAGTCGGACGTCCGGAGACGGACGGTCCTCGGCTGAACCTCACGGGCTGACCTCGGGCTGGGTATCTGTTGGGATTGCTCTCCACTTGACGGAGCGTCGGGCTGGGGAAGAGCCTCTGTTTCGCCTGGAACGGACGAAGCATATTTTGGTGCTGCGCTAGTAAGTCTAGTTGCTACTATGAGTTGCATTGTACTTTGTAGATCATGTACTGAAGTATTAAGTATCTGTGTGACTTTCATCATGTTTCATCTCTACCAAACTGATCAGCTGCAAAACATGTGGGTGTTGGGACGCGGCATGGCTGGGTGGCGCCAAGCCCGGCCAGTCCCATCGACCCTCAGCTGGTCCAAGCTTGCTTCCGGCGTCCACCTGATCCATCCAGCCTTTGATCCTCTCACTCCGCCCGTTTTTTTTGCCCCGGAAGGGTGGGCCTCCCAACTCCGCCGCGAACGTGGGGAGAAGGTGGGAAGGGACCAACCACGTACCACACAACTCGTTCACCCAGTCGTTCAGTCTGACCTGCAGCATCCTGCTCATCCAGTCCTCCCCGGGGTACAGGAACGAAGCCCCAAACGACCGGAGAACGCCGCGAAGTCGCCGGGGTGCTGGGCCTCTAAGGCGGGCGCCGCGCACCGGGGAGCGGCCAGGAAGACGCCGGCGTGGCAAACCTGGAGTCAGCGGGGTCACCGGTGCGGTGGACCTGAGGTCCAGGGCGGGAGCTGGGTGAGCAGGTGGCCAAGCAAGGTTGCAAAGAGGGAGACAGTTAGTATACGAAGGCTGCGTAAGATGGCCAATACGTTATGTGATGTGAAATTGCATGAGGCTAGTTGTGCACAGGTTGACAGCCAAGTGGATAGAAACATGTCTATCTCCAAAATCCCCTCTGACTTTGTTTTGGCATCTGGTTTTGGTTCCCTCTAATTGTCTTCTGACAAAACCCGCCAATAAAGAAGCTTTGATCCAGATCCAACCTAATGGCCTATACTGGAGTACTGACTCCCTCGAAAAATCATGGTCAAACTTTCCACCTCTTAATCAAGCAAGTCAGTCGCTTGCCGTGCCGCAGACACACTGGTCGTGTCAGCACAAACAGCTGGAACCACCTCTTCACTTTGAGTGGGGAAGGGAGGTTTTCCACTCACTCCCTCCCCAGTCATCCTCCCCTTGTCTCCTTCCCAGTCATCGTCTCCTCCAGTCATTGGCCGCGATCGCTCCGCGCGTCGCTCCCCGCGCGGTTTCGGGCCGCCCCCACCGACCAAGTGAGTCGCGGAGTCGACACAGCCTCAGAGTCACGGGCTTCGGAGCGCGGCTAAAATGCAAAGGTCTTGGAGCTCCATTTTTGAGCCCCTTGGGATCCAAGTAGCTTCTCAGGTGATTGGAGACACTGTGTTTGTTTTGTAGGGTAGGTGAAACTTCGATCTAATTCGATCTAAAGCAGTGGGACACTGGGCAAACGGGTGACG